ACACACACACACACACACACACACACACACACACACACACACACACAAATACAGGTAAATAAGCATCATCAGACTATAGGAAAAGACAAATCTATCCTGGTCTGGTCTAATTGTAGAGACATTGACCAGAGAAGCCTCTGGACTGGAGCCAGTGACAGCCTAACCTGGGGCGGGGTCCTTCCTCACCACGGTAACAGCTCAGGGGGACATATCCACATCACGCTGTGTCTGAACTCATCAATCGATCAGACAACAGATGGGGAATAACATCGGAGAGGACATATTATTGTTTGAAAAGCAGTAACATAAGGATACTGTTGTGATCAATAGAAAAGCAACAGACAATGAAAATCCTTTCAGAGTTTCCTTAAAGGGATTTTCTGATTTGCTCTCTCTCCTCTCATTTCCTGTCTTCACTAATATACCAAATATTAACATACCTAAAATATCCGCATTTTTAATAGGATTTTGGAATGGAAATATTGTCTCGTGGTTTGCAAGTTTGGTATGTTTAACTATTAACTATTGAGACCTTTGAGACATGTTAAAACTCAGTATCAGCCTGCAAAATCAAACAAATTGCTCAAATTTCTCAAAGTCCCGAGAATAAAGTATCTATTGTGTCATCTGACACATTCTGTATTTTACAATCTTTTCTGAATGAGTCCTTATTAAAGAGTCGGTTTTTCCTCCCCTTTCTTCTTTCTCATTTTCTTTCTTGATCTGGATTGTGGATTGTTGGGTATTCAGTTGATATGAACAGCAGAATAAGCTTCAATTTCCAAAGGAAAAAAGAAAAAGAACCTTCCTGACTCAGCAGGAATGTCAGTGATCCTAAAAAGACCCTGTGGATACCAGAAATCGAAAAAAGAAAATGCTCCGAAATGCTCTTTTTTTCCAATCTCGTCATCTTTACTCTCATCAACTCCCTCTGAGCAAACTCAATCTCTCCTCCACTCTCTCCCATCCCCCTCTAAGTGTCTGGCACATAGTGGTGATACGATCCCTTGGTGGGCGTCGCCCCCTGCCAACTCTTGCCAGTCTAATGGAGGGCTTGCCAGCGAATGAGACTGCCAAGGTGGCAATTAGTACGTACGATTACACATAGAGGCATCCTTCTCATCTTCTCCAGCTCTATCTCTTCTCTCCTCTTTACTTCTCTCCTGTTGTGTGTTACTGGTTCCAACCTCCTCTTTTCTCTGACTTCCCTTCACAACTTGCCATGTAGCAGGAGTAACAGACTGGTGAGGCATGCGTGATTTCCTGAGAAAACCCACAGCCCCTCTATTTGAATTTCAGTCACAACAGTCCTCAGCTACACGATAACAGCCTTTAAGGAAACAGCAAGGGCAATCTGGTTTTTCATACGTCCCTCCCACTCACTCTCTCCGTGTGTGATACAGGCCATCTTGAAACAACGAGGCAGCTTGCTGAGGTAATCGTGGCCTCAAGCGTCGACACGTTAGCAAATGGTTCCATAATTACACATGTCCAAACACAATGTTGAGTGAGTCAGGGGTATCCACTGTGGAAAGGTTCACATGCTTTGCAGTCTGAGCTAACAGTCGTGTATTATTTCCAAAAGGAAAAGAATTCTCCCACAACAGTTAAATTAGAGTTTCTGCCTGTAGGACTCAAGCATGTAAACCTTCAATCAAAGTCATCTCAGTGCAGTCATGTGAGTTGAATCAACATCTCTATGACAATGTCAACAAGACTGCTTCACAGATGATAGGTTGTACTGCAGGGAAATTGTACTGAAGGTATGAATAGCAAACAGTCAGTGTAGTTGGCAATTCTAAGCCATTTTTGACTACTTGCTGGACACTAAGCCTTGAAGGGACAAGTTAGACCCGTGGATGTAACCAGAATCCCTCTGTGTCTGGGGCCACACCAGGTAAATAACATTATTTTAATGACATCCAGAACGTTTTCACGTTTTCCTGGTTTTCTGCGCACTTAATCTCACCTTCCGTCTGCTCTTTATAACAATATGTATTGAATATCTGTCCGTTCTGGGAGAGGTGAAACCACTGTTACTCTTCCTAAGGTTTCTTTTTTTTCACTCATTAAAGATTTATGGAGCTTTTTGTTATCTGAATCAAGGATGACACTGTGTAAGGGTAGACGCTGTGATGCTGTGTAGATTGTAAAAACCTTTGAGAAAATGTTGTGATTCTGCATTATATGAATACAATTGACCTATCTCACTCACCTCATTTCATATCTCTACTGTCATCCATAAGAGAAGCATGAAAATGCCCTAAAAATATGTCAAATGAATAACTTGTCTTTATATATTGGTTCATACTGTGCATCATGCTTAGGATGTTAAATGTTTGCATGCATACTGCATGTGTGAGTAGGAGTTTGGGGAGGCTGTATCTGTATTTGTAACACAGTCTGTGACCCCTCCTGTCTGCAGAGACCTCCGAATTACTAACTGATAGACAGCACTGTGACTCATCAAATATTATCATCAGTTCTCATAATCTTCATTAACTGTCTAATAAGATTGCAAACCTCGAGTGATGACCTGCAGGTGAGTGAATGAGTGAATGTGTCCATGTGTTGTAGAGAAAGAGGGAGGGAGAGACAGAGTGAGAACATTTTCATTAATTTGTCTTTGCTGTGGTCAGAATGATAATATTCCAGGGGGATCTATCTGCAGCTCACTTCATCATGCTGAACATTAATAAAAAGAGAGCTGGAAGACTATTCCATCCAGATCAACCACGACCCCTCCCTGAGTCACAATCGGCCGCTCAGATTGAACTCACAGAAAAAGCCTTCATTTTACTGCCATGCGAACGTTTTGAGCTTGTGTTTGAAGAAGGAGTACCTTCCTTTTGAAAACTGTTTTGGAAAAATATTCAGATGCATTAGATTGCATTATTTGGGACAATTCAAATGACTTCAGCCTCGTCACACACGAAGGTCGGTACCAGGAGAAGCTAACACATCAATACCTACTTCCTGATCTATACACAACACTAACAACACTAATGGAAAGGTGAAGTGTGATTGCAGGATCTGTCATCCTTGGACAAGCCTTGATGTCTTCTTCTCTGTCCCCATTCAGGCAGGTGAGATTAGAACAATCAATTAGCATGTGTCTGCCTCACTGTGTCTATAATTAAGCTTCTAATTTTGGTCGTTCAGTAACATGCTATGCACGACAACTGATCAACAGGCGAGAGAAGCAGGAGGCTCTCTGGCCATATCTTCCCCTACCGTCTTCCACAACACTTCTTCTTTATGTCATCCCTCCCTCATGCTCTCCTCTCCTCCTCCTTCCTCCTCCAACGTCGCACCCTTTCTCTCTCCAACAGCGGGTGGAGTATCGTTAAGAAGCCAGAGCTCGGCTCATCAATTATTGAACACCCACAATCATGTAGAATTCTCTAAGAACCCTGTCTGCCAAGCCATTGTACGTCTGCGCTGTGAATTGATTAATATTTCATTTGTGTGTGTGTGTGAGAGAGGTTCATCTGCAGAAATCGAAAAAAATGTCCTCTCTTTGCTCTGACGGTGAGGCACCTTTCTGGTAACTGCTGTAAAATGCCCTTTAATGTAACACCTTTCCCCCACAGAACAGACTAATGCAGACATAAGGCAATTAGGGGCATTAAACTACCATGTTATTGATGTACTCTAAGAACACATGAGTGAGGTGAAGGTTTACAAGTTTTCACCACCTCACAGTACACAGCTTCTTGTAGTATGACTTCAGCTGGTTGTTAATCCAACAAGGTGATCAACTAGTAACAGGTTGTGGTTAAAGAGGACTTTTCCCAAAATCATTTTCAAGTACCTTTGATTTATAAAATTACATACATGTGTTTCTGAGGTTTAAAGAAGACCGGTTGTTTTGAATACAGTAGATCTCACAGAATCGCCAGCCCTTTCAACACAAAACGCTGATCTTGTTTCACAAACCTGCATTCAAATACATGCTTACACACACACACTCACAAACAAACAGTTTGACTCACCCACTGAGGACCACAATGAAGTCCATGACGTTCCATCCATTCCTGAGGTAGGAGCCTTTATGAAATACAAAGCCCAGGGCGATGATCTTGATCCCAGCCTCCAAACAGAACATCCCGATGAAGTAGGGCTCCGTCTTCTCCTGTAAGAGCGAAGCAGATGATCGGAGTGATAATTAGCTGACACTGAACTGAAATGAAAGCACTGTGGATGAAAATGTCATGTTTGGGTTTCTTGAGGCTCTACAGGCTCCATCAGAGGCAGTTTAGGACTAATCTGATTTCAGCAACTTGACAGAGAAGCGTGACGTGTGGTTGTGTGTGCAGATGGTTCCCATGTGTGAATAGCTCACCAGTCTCTTCGACATGGGGGTTTTGTCCTCTCCAGGAAGGTGCTGCTCCAGAGCCAAGACGATACAGTTGGCGATGATGGTGGTTAGGATCATGTACTCAAACGGAGTGGAAGGAAGAAGTTAAGGAACTTTTGACTGACTTGGTAAAGTATGTTAGTTTGAAAGGATAAGGCTGGTGATATTCTATGTTTGTGTCAAATCCCTTTTAAAGATCAAAACCAAACATGTTTTGATCTTTCCGTCTCTGAGCATGACCTACTCTGACTGTGGCTCTCAGTCTCAGACCATAAAGTCCAAGTGAATCTTTAGAAACAGGTCATGAATATATACAGTACTTTCCTTTTCTAAAAGGTTTGTTAATTTCCTAAAACAACCGCAAACATTGCTCCAAAAGGAGTAAATAGTGCATTTGTTAGGGACTATTTTAAGCTGCAGATCTGGTGCAATAGTAAGTATTTCCGGCAACAGGATGGGATCAACTCAAAATAAAATACAGTGCCCATGTTCTTGGTAATGAAAGAGCATGCCGCCCAGTGCAACAATGGGGCTTATTTTAATAGGTTTTCAGCAACAATGGAAGTTTAAACACAGAGGAGTAAGCCATATCAGGCATTGGATACACAAACACTTGTTAGTGGCAACAGTTCATTGTTGGTTTTGGTCTTTTTGTAGAATTTGTTGACATTAAGAACTGTATAGTACATTGCCAGCCTCATCCTTTTAGTAATAGATTTGTAGGTCTATTCACCAGAGCACAGCAGTAGTTTAGGAAATGTACATAGTGTAATAAATTACACCAGAAATCTTTCATTGATATCTCTAAACAGCACGGAGAGTAAGTGCTCTTAGAATAGAGAGGGCAGATTTAATTTAGTGAATCACAGTAAACCAAACCTAGCAGCACTGCAATTACAATGTCATGTAAGCATTGATAGTGAGGCGAACACTGATTCCTCTGTATGAAACGAAACAGAATTAACGTGCATGTACAGGCGCCTCGGGGCCGTAGACACAACCAGACGCAGGCTAAACATTATGTGAGGTCAGCTGCAACAGGCAGCGACACACAGACATCCACACGCACACACACACACACACACCGAGGCAACAGAGGGCTCATCGAGGAGGGATGATTGGGTGGGCCTTAAACGCGATCCCATAAACAGGGTCACTTACTACGAGCTTCACCGCCTGCTCTATGGGACCTGTGTTGGTTGTTGGTTCAACACCAGCCGCTCTGGGGTTGAGCTAAGCCAGCAATGTGTTCTTTATCTAATGCTCTGCGTGGGCAGTCCCCATTCTGCTGGCTATGTGCAGAAGAGGTAGGAAGGAAGGGAGCTTAAATCCGCAAAGTGGAGACAGGGAGGGGAGAGCGGAAGTAAGAAGGAGGCAGCGATAACAGAAGGATGAAACAGGACAAAGTGATAAGGGGGATGACAGGAGATCTGTGGTAGAGAAGACGATGGTTATTTAGAGTGTCAGAAGCTTGCTAAACCGGTGGGTGAGGAGGAGGCAATGGGACCAAATAAGACTGACACCGGACATATTGATGCTGCATCGGCAGCTGTAGCCAGCAGGGTTACTCAGGGATATGCGAGCTATGAGAAGCTAAATAAACAAAGCCAATATAATCTTACTCCCACCAGCCCGCAGGGATTCTAACTTAAACCGAGACCGAGCCACCGATTTGACTCAGTGATTGCAAGTTTATCGCTGAGAGATTTTTTGGAAAAACAAAACCACAGCAGCCATCAGCAATGAGTACATGATGTGTGAAAACAAATGGCAAAAAAAGGTGGTTTAACTGCATGATAACTGTCCTAGGGCGAAGGTTTGTTTTCAAGAAGTAAAATATTTCTTTTGATTCACCCTCCGACAATAACTAGCATCGTGTCAGCAGCAGCCAGTCACCACGCCCCGCATCCCCACAAACACATACAACACAAACAGCAGGAGGGGGGACGCGAGACGGAGAAGAGAGAGAAGTAAGAAAGGGGAGGAAAGAGAGAAAATGAAGAAAGAAAGACAGAGGTATCCAAGGCAACAGGGTTCTCTTCCAGCCAAAAATCAACAAGACGGTTACTGGGCACCTGAACTATCTCTGTGGTCGGTCGGTCGGTCGGTCACACACACACACACACACACACACACACACACACACACACTCTGTACAAGATTTCAAAGTCTGGTTCTTTCTTATGTAGTATTAAAGTTATACATTCAAATATATTTCTATTTTTCAGATATTTTCAAGATAAAAATATTTCTGATGATTTGTGATAGTTGAATGATTTGTACTTTTGAGTAATCTCATTTGGTGATGGAACAACGTTGAACGGTGTCTTTATAAGAGAAGGAGGTTCAATTAATCTGATTTAAAAAATCAGTCGATGTTTTAAACTATCATGCACAACTAAAGACAGTTTAAATCACTTTTCTCCTCGTTCTGCCAATGAGCACCTGAGCTAAAAAGCACATGACACCTAAAATAATTTATGTTTTGACCACTTTGGGGGTAGCAGGAATCATTCGCCTGTTACACATCCAGCAGCACTCATTTGGAGTTGGGTTTCTGGCAACCTCCCAAATTAAAGTTAAATATTCACTCTCATTGAAGCTCTGTATTTGGTCTCTGCAAACTCCTCCACCAAATTAGCTCTTTAGTTAAGAGGAGATTTTAATCTTTAGCTGCTAAATGCTCCACTACATTCACCAGTTACTAGCTTTGACTGCCCGCTGTTTGGTTGTGAAGTGGACTGCATAGGGTATTCAGCCATGTAAAGTTAGATTACAGACCATAGGGAGCAAAAATGCTCCGTTGAAAGGGAACTGTGAACTGCATAGGCAAGAACTGAACGTTTCTTCACTTTGCGGCAAGTTGACAAGCAAGATTATACAACATTGTGCCTCGCTGGACCACAGGCATAGGGCCATGATAGCCAAACCAATATTGTGTAACTTTAATATTCCAACAAACGTTAATGTTGGTTGTCAGTGCAAGAATGAGCTGCTGTACAGCACTCGTGCCACAGCCAACGATGCAATGAAAGTGTTGAAAGTGAATCAAAACAGCAAAGTTGTGGACTTGAAAGCCAAAACAATGAACTGAAAGATGCTAAAGAGCTCCGTAGAGCTGAATTGCAGAGTTTGTGATATTCATCACAATGAGCAACAACAATTGTTTTTGGGTGATGCACTCATTTGCTCTGCAATCACAATAGTGTTTTAACTAATTTGCCCAGGAGCTTCCAAACAACAGATGAGTTAATCCTGATGTAACTGATGTTCCCTGACTCCAGACATTTCAATAAACCCCATGTAATGCAGTTACATTCAATGTTGACTTTGTCACTAAATTACACACTCAACAAGTGTCTTAAAACCAAACCCCTCCCCTTCCTCTGCGCCGCTCTGGAGTGTGACGCTGATCATGGATCGTCTAACAGCTTTAGCAGTGAGGCGTTTCGTGAGCAATCCTGTGAGTCACAGTGACGCTGGCACTCTGCCTCGACTCCTCAAACATGCGTGTAAAAATAGACATGGAGACAGAGTGTGATGCCCTGTGCATCTGTGAATACGCTCAGGCCCAGAGTGTAATCACCATTCGGAGTAAAATTAACTCCGTTTCCACCGGAGGAATGAAAAAACTGATAAACTACAGCTGATATTTCTATCGCTGTGCTGTTATTCAAATATGCATAAGATAAAATATGTTGTCAACTGAATGGATTTAACAGACTGCGGCAATCAAACATTCTCCAATCTATCTTGGATTCCACATCACCTCCACACCTCAGTGGTCTGCTTGAGCCAGACGATCAATCCTGACGATAAATGAGGCCATAGTTCAGTCAGTCCTATTTATACGCAGCAGCCCTGCGAGTAAACCGTGTTAACTCTGAGCCACAGCTGGCTCTTATATACACCTCTCCGCCAGGAAATAGGTGGATATATACGGTCATGATACCAAAGAGCGAGGGTTGAACATACCTCCTGTGATGTTTTGTGGACTGGTTTTATTAAATTTCTGTAAGCAGATTTCAGACCATTGCATATTTAGCAGAGTCCAAGGCCACATTTACTACTCTCATTTCTTCAGCTACACTTTGATTAAATAAGTAAAAAAATGCAAGCAGTAAGTGGAAAAAACTGTTTTTGTAATTGGAGATAAATGAGAGTAGGACCATATCAACACTAGGGTCATTTCCTTGCTAATTTTCCATTTCCATTTTGCATGCAAGGATGCAATTTAGAGGGAAATGAATGGTCTTTCTCAGGTTAAAGATGGCTAAAGATTTACAACTTTTAATGTACCCTTAATCAAATTCACATTCGTGCACTTCAAATCCTGGTGAGGATTCGAAACCAGGATTCGAAATACACAGACAGGCCTAAAAAAGAACAGTGACCTATCCTGTTTAATACTTAAAATGTCTCCCATTCAGATTTAAAAACTCAAAGTCTGACAACCAGCAAGCATGTGGTTATTACTGTGGATTAATGAAACAAACTATTAAATCTATCTATCAATTATTTAGAGGTGTACCTTCTCAATGGGAAACTTCCCGCTGCGGGGGATCCCAGTGGGGATCAGACAGGAGGAGCAGCTGTCAGTCCTCACCAGGCCTGCCACACAAAACTCAGGCCGTGGACTTAATTACCCCTTCCTCTTCCCTGCCAGGCCTTAATCAGCCTTCCATCGACTACAACCTCAGGCAGGTACAGTGGGCTGACAGTCAGACATACGCATACACATATTAAACCACCTCTTCCAAAACATACAGCACTCTGGTTTTGTATAATTCCTGAATTGATCTGCTGTTAATTGAGCACTCAGAGAAAAAAAAGAGCCTCTTACAGCGAGGTGACAGCGGCAAGTTGTTTTTCAACTCAAGGCTGACCTTTTGGCGATGTCCTGCTGACATAGTGAGTGTGTGCGAGTCTGCTGTTGTATTTCTATTTCTGTGAGGACCTATTTGAGTTTCAGACGATGAGAACAAGGCAGAAGTGAGAATGTTTTAGGGTGGTTTCCCTTCTGTAAAGGCTACAGTACGCCGGTAAGGGTTACAAATACAAATACGTTTATGTTAGGTTTAAGGTAAGGGTTGAGGTTAAACTGCTAGCTTGTGAACATAGAGGAGCATTTAGAAGCCTGAGAGACAGATTTACCTCAGGAGTTGGTAAAAACTAAAAAGTGAACAGCGAAAATTGCTCCATAACCACTAGATGTGTAAATAGGCAACTGTTTGCTCTAACAAGTTCGCCATATCAGCTTAAAAGTGCAACGTATGTCAATGTTACGTTCACAACTTGTTTCTTTTGTCCCCAAGTGGTCAGTTTTTGCAGGTCCAAGTATAATTTTGCATGCAGGGTACTTTACTTTTAATTTAGTAATAGATCTGAATACTTGTTCTACCACTGGGCATTAAGGTAAGGAAAGGGGCTAAATAAAGCATTCTGTCAATGAGGGTCCTCACAAGTATAGAAATGTGTGTGTGTCATTGCTTACATGTTTATATGTGTTCATATGAACAATGTGTGTTCTCATTTGTGCTTACTCGTGTATTTACAGTAAATGAATCCTCCCACTCCAGACATGATTCACATGTATTTAAGAGAGCAACTCATCACAGTGAATCTCAACCAGAACACAGAAAGACGCAGCTCAGCATCACTCCCCTCAAAACCATGGTAAACAGTATGATATAGTATGACTATAATAGTGAGTAATGACTTGTTATAATAGTATATGACAGTGCGATCAGACGTCATTGCATATAATTCCTGTTAATGCCGGTTAATCAGATACAGTAGAGCTCATTGGATGTAATGAGACACTCCCTCCACAACAGCACATTAACCTGGAGGTTATTTAGTCTGGCTGCTTTCCTTCTGGTCACTGCAGCACACATAATATTTGGATTAAAATTGTATTCTTGACACAGAAGATGTGCCTATGCAATTATACCATCACCATTGGTTATGACCCAACCACTAGGGGGGTGAAATATGATATGATAACTCACACACACACACACACACACACACACACACACACACACACACACACAAACACACACTTACACCTCGACCCTTTTTTCCTCAACTGTTGATTGAAATGCATTCCGTCTCTATTTTTAATCACCTCAATAGATGGGCAAGCCCAGAAAAAATAACAATAGACAGTGATTAACAATGGAGGCCCACTCATGCTATTTGCTGGGTTTTTATAATCAGTAGGCCAGTCAGTCAGTCAGGAAGCTGTTGAGTGGAGCAGAACAATAGCAGAGAGGAGGCCACACCTGGCCCGGACACCTGGTGAGCTGCACAGCAGCAGCACGCCACCGCACGCCACCGCCAACACGCCACCGATGGACATTTATGTGTTGTCGTCCTCCTCAACGACAGGCAGAAGAAATAATATAGTCTCTCCCCTTTTCAGTAAATAATGGCAGGGCGAATCATTTTAAGAAACGAGCCATTAATGTAACATCATTATTGAAAATCAATAAAAGTGTTATGTAATACAGATTTGGATAAAGTCACACCTTGAATTAATAGCAGCATGAGCGCAGTGCAGAGCGGCAGCCGTGAGCTAGCCATTAGGACATGCTAACATGCATGAATGCACTAAAAAGAAGTGCAACCGGCCCGGCTATGTCAACATAGCACGGCGAAGCTCGGATTACAACGCACAAAGAGGGAGAGTGACTTCATTCTCTGCTCAGGTAGACATTATTCCACTACTGTATATCTTTACATAACAAATAGCTGTTTGCTGCTAAAGTAATCCTGCACATAGCACCTTTAAGCAGGCAGCTGGTCAGGTTGTGATAAGTGGTTGAGTTTAAGGCTGCAACTCCCCACAACAAAGCGTTAATTACTACAAAAATGCTAATCAGAGTTTCCCAAAGTCTAAGGAGATATCATCAACTGTGTCGTTTTGTCTGATCAACAGTCCAAAACTTAAAGATATTCAGTTTATATGTGATATAAAACAGAAAAGAAGTTGAATCCAGTGAATATTTGTAATTTTTTTTTAAAAACAGACCAGAACAATTGCTGAATTATCATAATAGTTGTCAATTAATTTTCTGTCCATCGACTACTCGATTAATCGACTAATCGTTGCAGCTCTAGTTGAGCTCGATATATTCACTGTACATAACTTGTCAGGAGGGACGGTGAGTGTTGTGGCAACAGCAGGTCTTCATCGCCTTTTGTTTACAGAAAAGATTTACAACCATAAACCGCAAAACTCTTTTGTGTTCCTCTAATCCTCTTTCCATTGACATCTCCTCCCCTTCTGCACTTTTGTCTAGCTATAGCTATTGTCATAACCTGAGTTATAACCTGATAGATAATTCCATACACTTTTGGATTATTGACCTATAAAATGGTAAAATAATGTCACTGGTACACTCAAGTCTGATTTAGTGCTTAGTTTCATGTTCTTAATTCCTAATTCCCTGTTGCACAGTATTGGATTAAATTCGAATGAATGAATCAATTAAATAAACCCCCCAAAAAGTAATTTATCACTCAAGCGACTCCTAGACTGAACTCAGATGAGATTGGTTGAATTTCTCATGTCTTGCCCTGTGTGTGCTGTCCATGGTGCTGAAAGAGACATTGGGGCCAGACACTAAAGATAATTTGGCTGTTTAAGGACTTTGGTTTTCTGTGAAATGGTGTGCACTTGTGGAAATATGATAGATTGTTCTTGATTATTTGTTACACTGGGAAGCAGTTTACCCACCTTAGTAATCCACTCCTTTCATATCTCCGATGATGAATGCGTTTGTATATTTCACACATTACGCTCTTCATTTACACCATGAAGCAGAAAAAGGATATGGCCACTCAATGACTTTCTTGGCATACTTCCTGACCACGTTGTCCTCGCCAAAGATGAAGAGGGACCTGTTGACGGTGAAGCAGTTCTCCCTGACCGGGATGGGGTTGTACAAGGCCATGGTGCGGGCACGCTGCGCTTTGGTCTGCTTGAAGGCAGGGGAGATGCCACCTGTGGACACAGCCGCCCCATCGCGGTTCCGGTTGCGCTCGGACCCTCCATCACCGGAGCTCAACAAGCCCGGGACGTCGTCTCCAAACCGGGCCATTCTGTTTGGAGGGGAGACGGGAGAGGAAAAGGAGGTTATAGTCTCCTAGAAAGCAGGGTGCGGTGCTGCGCTAGGCGTGACAGCGGCGGAAGGGCGAGAACCTGACCAGTTTTAGTCCATCGTCAGTTTTATTCGCAAAAAAACACCGAACTCAGTGTTCCACAACTTCAAAATCTGTTCAAAACAATCACGGATTCTCCAGTCGGTCCAATTAGAGGCGCTCGTCGATTTCAAGTGCGCTCTGCGTAAAACAAAGAACTGAAATCCAAAAAGTAATTCAATTCCGCCTTATTTAACAATCTGTCGTCTTGAATTAAGCTGTAAAAACGGACCAATTTCACAGCGTTTGATTCACATCCAAACACTAATATCTTAAAGTAGGCTGCAACAGGTCACGTCTTCAGCCATCCTCAGTCCGCTGAGCGAGAAGCACGAGAGCAGATTGATCCATGGGGTTTTTAAATAAACTAGCGGCAGTCCTCTGAGTAATTCAGAGCACATCACTCCTGTCTTCCGTCTCCTCTTCTCTGTTGACCACCTACCACAAGAGCACTATCCTATTGCGTGCGTAGGACGACCGGAAAAAAAAAAAAACTTTGGCATTTTCCACGACATTTCGCCCCCCTTCCCGAAACAACGCGAACAAAACAAACTGTCAACTACGTGTCACGCGTAGGAAAAGAAAATCATCTGTCCGTCTTTCCTGCATGGGGATAGTGAAAGAAGTGTCTGTACCTTCCCCACCGCACTGTTAGAGCAGAAGGAGAGAAGACAGCAGTGTCTCCTCATGCGCCATGCACTTCTCATATAGCCTCCGTTCAGCCCCACACATGCACTTCAACATGCTGCAGATTGAGTTAACAAAGCAAGTGTTAACGTACAAATCAGGACAAACAATTAACAAAGTCACGATGTGATGAAGACACATATTAGGTGCCTCCATCTTGACGAGTTGAGATTATGTAAACCAATTAAACCTGTTAGGCTATTCACGATATTAAGACCAGCGCTGGCTTTATGCTTTCGCTGAACATGTGGGTACAATTCTTTGTAAAATACTAAAAGTTCACTTTGGGATCACTTCAGCTTTTTCGTGTGACTGGTCAGTATAGGCTACCATTTGAAGAGGGGCCATGCTGTGATATTTGATTCGGATTGTGTTCACCCCACATGGTCGTCCGGAAGAGCAAACTGAGAAGCTGGTCACACATCGAGTGTGCAGGAGTAAACACCTGTTGTGAAGAAAAAAAAGACACTCAGGAGGACAGCAGCAAGCATCTTTGACTAAGTACAGTGTTCAGAACCTACTATTGAGAGGCTTGATAGTGAGGGGGAGTTGTGCTGCTGAGTGTTGGCTGGAAGTGATCACATCTACTACTCTCATGAGGATGAAAGCTTTTTACAATGAAGAGAGAGAGAGAGAGCGGGGGGGGGGGGGGGGCACGTTGGGTTGGAAGGGTGGAGTTGAAATGTTACATCTGTCAGATCTGAGATAATTGGCTTTAAGAGGATAAATCTGTTGAGGTTCTATGTGTCTTTTATCATCAATAAATCCCTTGAAATGAGCAAAACCGATGATGAATTGATGCTACAGTTTTTTTTATTTTATCGGTGAAGCCAACTTCTCAAGTAGCTCTTCCTCTGTGCACAGTAGAGCTTTGTGCTAAAATCAGCATGCTAACAACCTCATTATAATAATGCTAACATTTTAGTTAGTCATTTGGGAAACAAACTTCTAAGTACTAAACACAAAATACAACTGAGAGCGTGAATATCATTAGTTTGCAGGTATTTGTATTTGCAGGAAAGTCTTCAGACAAATACACATTTTGACCTAATGTCATCACAATGGGGCACATCTGTACCAAATGTTATGGCAATCTATCCAATTGTTGTTGAGAGATTTCACTCAAAACCACAAGTGTGAACCTCATGGTGGCGCGAGAGAAAAAGCCAAGGGATTTTGCCATCTATAAAATAGTTAGAGATATTTTAGTGTGAACAAAAGTGGTGGATCGACTGACAGACTGACTTTGCTATCTGCTAAAACACATCAGTGAGCAACAGCTTTGCCATGGATACGATGTTTCTTCATTATTATGAACATGGGCACTGTACTGTTTGTGTGGAACTTGTTATAATTGAGTCAATCACAAATACTGCCAACTGTCCTGCTGCTGTAAATATTAAGTGTGTATTAATCCACAGCTAAAAACAGCCAATAACTGCACTATTTACCTTTATTTTAATAACATTTGCTAAAAACTACAGTGCCCAGCTGTTTTAAGAAACTACTGAGCCTGCTTATTATGAAAAAGAGCAACTGTCCAAAAAGATGTAAAGCATGAAGTGAAATGAATGAAAGCCTTTATTCTCAAACAGCATCAAGCTGAGAGAATTAGTGTGAATAGCAATTTACCAGTAAACTGATGTTGATGGAAACAGAAGTCAAAGAGAAGATGAACCACAGGAGAGAGTTAACCACAACGCTGACACTGATGGGTATTTAGTGATAGTGGTATGACGAAGGCAGTGATCAATGGTGTGTGGCCTCCAACTCATTAGAGCTCAAACACATTATTGGCTTTAAAAATAGAACAGATAACAGACAGATTACTGACATCTCCTCCTTATAAGCGATGAGAAGAGACGTACAAATTGTCCTATAACGGTCTCCTCCAGTTATGAGGCAAAAAACTGTTGAAAGATCACGTTTCACTTGCTTTTTGTTATTTCAATCTTGGCTAAGTGTGATGGAAATGTGACTTCTGCCACTTCCTCTGTGCAGCAGTGATACCCTCACAGTGTTTTCTGCCAGGAGAAGAGAGCGGAGCAGCCACGGCTCTCTTGGCTGAGAGGTGAGGGGTGAATTATGGTAATTAGAGGTTAGCAATAGGGATGATTAGTGTGGAAGGACAATTGTTCTTTCCTGGAAAAAGGCAGAAGGCAAGTGGGTGGAGTCTCTTTGTTGCAGATGATGCTTTGAGTTTCTATAATTAAAAAAGGTATTTTTTGAAGGACTAGTGAACCCAAGTGAAATATGACTTCAATGTTTTTGCTGGAAGGCTCAGATCAATTAATCACACGTTCAAATTGACATCACTGGCCCTAAAGCTAGATGGTAGAAATTTCTAATAAATCACACTTTATAAAGAGCTTGTAACTAATGGCTTTATTGATGGTTAATAAACAATCAACTAATGCTTTATAGATCAGTTATAAGTCATTGACAGCAATAATATTTGGGTTGCAAGGTTGTGAAAAATCCCTTTGTCTGGTGTTTATCCTTACTATTTGGTAATAAAGCTTAATAATCCATTTATAAAATCATGGGTTTCTTACTTTCCAATACGCCATCCAGTCTGCGGTTATACATATCAATAAGTGGTCATTGAGGCGTCTTCCTGATGCGTTGTCTGAAAGATAAAGCGAGCATCAGACTGGAGGAAGATTTTTCACAACCTGGCAACCTAAAAGTTGTTCTTATCAAATTAAAAATAAGACTCCTACAGCTACAAGTGCCGAAAAAGAACATCTTTCTCACAGAGGCAACAGGAAGTCTTACAGGAATTTTGAAAATGTATAGGAACCCTAAAATATATTCAGCTGCATTGTGCTCTCTATACTTACAGAATCTATACTATTGAAGGTATATATTGGTGGAGACATTTTGACATTGTTTATGTTGGAAAGTCTTCTCCTCGGTGTAAGAGATGTCTAGCTTGCAAAAAAAAAAAAAACTAGCCGGTTACCAAGGTTACTTGCTGTCGTGACAGCAGATTGACGATCCGTGCTTCGTTAATGGGACTCAGTGACAGGACCGAGGTGAGAACAAAGATTTCAACTCAAAAATAGAACGAGTGAACAGAGATACCTGGCACGCTCGTATCCGAAACATGGTCATTATCAGGCTCTTCGCTTAATAGTCCTGTAACTAAATTAGCTTCTTAACCCTGAGGAAGAGAACAGCCACGTGAAAGCCCACTGGAGAATTCACTTTACACACTTTTGATTTGTCATATGTGAACATTTGCTGCCAACATCTTTCCGTCGAGCTTCCGCGCTTTGAATACACATGCCTTTTCACGTGGCTCATCCCTCTTTGCTACAGTGCAGCGTTTACTGTCCTTACTGTAGTTCTAAACCATAAATAGATTGGAACTACAACAGACACAACCGGGATGGCCAATTTACTGTTTGTGCACGTGTACTCAACAAGGCTTTAATTGACAAAGTTAGCCTGTTGGTTTAAGGTTAGTTTGTATGATTAGTCTGGATTTTTGCAACCTAGTCCAACATGGATTTGACACATCTATGAGGTATTGTTCAGCTCAGTAATGCAAAAGATATCAGCTTCAGAAACATTGAGACAACTTTAGTTTCCTGATTGCACCCAGAAAGAACAGCAGCACCACATATACTATGTAGTGCAGCAAATACTGTACAATTGGAGCTAAAAGAGACACCCAGTCTAGAATAAAGGAAAACTAAAAGGTAAACACTCTTATCTTTACTTCTTGGGTGACAGAATGAAGCTCACAGTCTGGATCGTATAAATGCATTTTGAATGGAACAAAGTCTAAATGATAGACTTTTATTCACACACACCTCCAGCCGTTTATGTAGGTTTTTCTCATTTTTGTTGCTTTGTGGAGCACTTTAGTTGAAAACTAAGTCAGGTAGTTGAATAGTAATAAGGCAAAATAAAAGGAAAGATTAATCATTGGTTAAATGACAAGTAGTGTAATTGGAGGAGTGTAAGTGCTTCCAGCAAGTGCAGTGAGTAACACACAGAGCAGAAGACACATTATTTACGCAGTGCTCTGAGACAGACAGGCAGACAGACAGACAGATGTCAGATAAGGAATCTGTGTGTCTGTCTGAGTAAGACTTGTCAACACATTTCCATCATTGTGGAGAACACACTTGTTTACAACCATGGGAGGGGCTTTACATGTGCAGGTACAATTTTAGATCACAGTGCACTTACAAGGCAGTGTG